AAGGCGTCACTTGCCATTTTTGGACGAAGGTGAATGGCCTTACCCGTTCTAATGGCTCTTGGCATCACACTACTGACACCAATGCTGCTTGTATTGGCAGGTCCCGGCAAAGCACCAGACACCACAGTGCTGACATGCCAAAGAAGGAGTGTCCTTTGCGAGCTGTCTACCATTCAGCTTTAATTAATGAGGGGCGGGTAAGCGGACGGGCTAGAATCAGGAGTTTCGTTAACACACAAGATTGGACAATCTTTGAACAGTGCTGTACTTTTCTCCATCGGATGTGCTCATTGCGGGTTTCGTCGAACGCCACGGAGGGATTCTACTTGACGAGACTGAGAAAGAGAAAGAGGTATTTAGATTGGTCTTCTGTCAGAGATTCAAACGGACGCGCCCTGCACTTACAACTGACCACTGCAAATTAGTCTCGGGAGACATCGGACTCTACTATTAAGAGCTTGAGAAATCGATACTGGATGCTAGACAGCGGGGAGCGTTCCCTAAATATCCTGTGAAGATTTCAGTCTCGTTGAATGTGAAATCACTGAAGACCTTAGGTTTGATTGTGTTGTCGTACCCCTGCAGCTCCGCTGGAACAAGTTCGCGAGTCAGACGTCGGACCTTCCACGTGTCTACCCGTTACACTGCTGGTCAAGCTGTCAGTTGACAGAGTACTGACAGGATTGTTCCGCGTGGATTGAGAATTCCAGATAACTGCTAGCATCAACACAAGCTACTCGAAAAGTTGTCCCATCTCTTTGCCGTCCGCTTATGCATGATTCGGACGGCCTTGGTTTAATTTAAAATAATCGTACACTGAAAGAGATGAATCAATAGGAAGTGCGCGGCTGATTTGAATACAATTGGTGGTGATAATGAAAAGTCAGGAATTGTCAAAATACTCAAAAATGTAGACTTGGCGGTGATAGTACTCCAACGAAATAAAAGCATAATTAAATCGGGGATTTCTGTCATGTGATAAATGCTTAAGCATAAACCAGTTCCTTTTAATGCACCAATTGAATTGATAGAGCTAGAAATTTGCATTAAATAAACCCTTTCGGTCGAAAGCACGTGTTTAAAACTTACCGTGTAGTTGAAGAAGAATGCAAAAAAGTTGCTGCGCATAGAAGAGACGTCACGTTCACGAAATGAAGGCAATCGGTTTTCCGGTCACCTAGGTCGTGAGTGTTGCTAGGCTGCCATAAGCGAACTCAAAACCTTGCCAGTCCTTAAAGACAATATAGGCACGGGAACTAGTTATTTCAAAGACAACAGAGGTAATGCTTCACGAGGGTATTTCTTAGTCTATTGATCGTAGTAAATTCCGAAAGCACACAAACCCAGACAATATCAATTGTGGCAAAACGTTGCTAGAAGACAATCAGAATGAGGTTGAATAATTATTCTATCGCACACGCTGGTTTGCTCCTATCTACCGAAACCTGGCTATCATGAACAGTCTTTTGCCCGAAATTTTAGTGACTGAAAGCAGCATGCAGCCAAAGGTTCTTATTCTTCAAACCGACCTCCGAAAGTCCCTGGCTAATTCCCATATAACATTCATCAACATCTACCACCAGTGCAGAAAATATTTACGTGAAATCAAAAAAAAATATATTTTCTAGGTTAAATTAAAAGCTGCCTTCAAAATCATTTATTTAGAAAATGATTTTTTTGCAGAGAAGCCGTGATTTTTGCCCCACAGTCAAGCATAAAAATGTCTGTTGCGTGGATCTGTCTCGAAGACAACGTTACAATGTAGATGCGAATTGAAGCCAAGTGAAGGCCTACGCAAAAGCACTTTGGGTACCACTTGTAGCGGCGCATGCTTGCAAAATGTTAGCATTGCACTACTTTAGTTGCATACCTGTTTCGTTCGTAAACAGTCGATTATCTAGTGTCTTTTAAGACATCTGGTTTGCTCAAAGTGATGTCCCCCTTTTACTTAAAATATTTTGGACAGCGAGGCCATTAATGTAGAGCAAATAGTTCTAACCACAAGTTCATCAGTGGGCAATTCAGCCGATGATCTGGCTGATGTTGTGGTGGCGGTAAAGCCTGTTCAAAGGCACATGCAAAGTTACCTCAACACGTTCAACTCGAAAACGCATCACCATGAGCAACTAAGGAGAGTAGGTAACGCCTGAGCACTGCACAAATTGATTTTTTTAACGTCTCTCACACAAGTAGTGGTCATAAGGCTGTAATCGTCATTGGTGACGTAGAGTGTCTAAAATGGCTCTGCAGCTGAACCTCAGTTTTAAAATCCAGGCATTGCTGTTAATTATTATGCACGTCTTTACTTTAAGTGGCTTTGAAATAAAAATCAATTATCTGGTCATCTGCACCTCTTGGAACACCTACAATCGCGTTGATTCACAATCGTTAATCCGATCACGAGGGGTCATCAATTGTTTTGGACCCTAGCATATGGTCCTGTACCACCCGGGGCCACTGATTTGGATCTTGCGGGTTGCAGGGTAGCGTAATCAGGCCAGATCCAAATCAGTGTCTCCGGCGTGGTTCAAGACCACGTGCTGGGACCCACAGCAATTTTAATTAAACATGTCTTGACAACCATAATTCATTTGTGTGCTAATGAAATGCATAAAACATCGGTCATATTTAAATTGTGTTTAGCAGTTCAGTATTCTTAAGGTCATCCTATGTTTTTCTACATTCATGCCCCTTACACACAAACGCAACATCGGGTTCAATACTGCGGGCTTTTTTGGGATCATCCTCCGGGTGTAATTTTTACAAACCTTTTCGCTCTTTTGTCGAAATTGCACATTTTAGTCACTGCCTGCACCACATCTCAATCTATTTATGTTAATACATGGCAGCGTCGGTTCAAGAAAGATTCATTACAAAATAATTCCGTAGGACAGAAATCTTGCTGACTATTAGCCACGTTTCTTGAAAAATCTAATAGTAACTGATCATATACTATCCCCTGATAGTTGCAAAAGAAAAAACCTTTTTACAAGAATGCTATTGTGGTTTCGGTGCAAGATGTTTTGTTTTCTTACAAAAAAAATCAGCCATAATGTCAAACACGAAAAGGGTGGATGAGGTGCAAACAAATCACTATCTCTTGGTGCAAGTTGCAGGACACAGCGTCACTTGTCTCGTTCTATTTTTAGCACTAATCTGTCAGCATCCGGTCACTAAATAAACAAACCGGAATTTTGAAAATAAACTTGCAAAATTGTTTACAGCCCTCAGCAAAGTGTGCGTTGGATCAGCGTTCAATGGCTTTTCAGCAAGATATTTTTTATTCCTGACATCGGCGACTTTCTTTGCACTTCAAAAGTTATACAATTTAGACATTCAGGTGGATTGCCAACATCGCAATCGCTTCCCACAATTTTTATGAGCCCTGCATCAATGTGAGCTTCCAGTTTGTTGTCAGACTATTACTCGTGAAATAGATTCAGAAAACGCGTCAATTTAAGCAAACTAAATTAAAGGTACGCCAAAACAAAAGTTTTTGTTGCGACATTTGAAGTCAAGTGGCTCCAAGACATGTGTGCATGACGGCTTTCAGTACACGGCTGTCTGCCCCTGAATTACATGTCGACGAGTCTGCACAAAAAAAGAAAGTGCTGAGTCATTTGTAACAGAAATGAGGTGCCCTTGACCTTGCACTTCCAAACACAGGGTGCATAATGACCGTGATCGTTGAATTCCGCAGCAATCCATGGACTTGATTGCTCCTGAGAAATCTATACTTATGTCGACACACTACCACTATAATTTCGGAAGGCAAATTATCGAGACAATTGTGCTTAGCCTAGATTAGGTACTAGGAAAGCAATGTCGTTTCAAGTTGAATCACAGGGACTTACGTAGTCCACTCAGACCTCCTTAATTAAGAAATTAGCTTGGACATTCAGCACAAAAGTTCGGCCCAATTTAGCTTGATTGGTGGCAGTAAAAACAGAGCTGCATTGACCGGAATAAAGGATAGTCGGATGAGGCCGAGTCCGATGCATTTGCCGAATGTGGGGGAACTTCCCATTCCAAAGTTCACGAGGCTCTTCTGAGTCGTGCGAGCAACGTGAGGTGGTCGAGCGTTGTCATGCAGCAGTAAAACTTGCTCGATTCCTTTTCTGGTCAGTTTCTTATCTCAGTTTGTCCATTTGTCGGCTGCAGCGTTCTGCACTCACCTTCTGACGACCAGTTACCATGTGTTCGTGATGAAGTACACCCATTCCCTCCACCAGATACACAGGAGAACCTTCTTCAAGTGGATGTCCTGTTTCGACGTCGATGTATCGGGTGATCCGGAATCTACCAACGACTTGCGTTAATATATTCTCGTAAAAAAGCATACTTTTTCTCACCCCTCTCAAATTTCCACAGGAAGTCCATCGACTGCCTGCCTCAGCAAAAAGTTATGTATAAAACATCTAGACTAATGAAGTGCCCCAATTAGTTCCATATTTTAGTTATGTTTGCTACGAGCCACGCAAATCTTTGGTGTCGACTAGTGCCAAACAAACGGTTAAATGACTTCCTTGTGTACCTAATTTGAAAGATCTTTGTACCTTTGTGAGTGCATTTATTTGCTACAACATGCCATGTTTTTATGTTCGAGGATTAGGGATGTCATGGGGTTAGCATGATACCCTGGCCTTTGGAAAGATGCCTCGCACCGTCGCGTCGCCTCACCAAGGTTCACGCTGTTAACGGCCGATCAAGGCAAGCCTGACCCACGACAGCGTGACTACCACACCTCACCAGGGCAGCTCTTCGTTTCCAACCAAAGCCAAATACGAAAAAGACAAACCAGAGCACTTTTTCGTCGTAAATAAATCCCTTTTTTTCGTGATTCAGTACCTAGTTTAAAAAAAGGTAAAAGGAGGCTTGGCCAAGCCCTTTCGTGGGCGGGCACACAGCCGAAAAGCGTTAAAATAAAAGCATGAGAAAAGTGCGCCAGATAAGACGATGGTTGGCTTTGGGAAGAGGTAGACCAGAGAGGGAGAGGGCGGCTAGGCAGTGTAGGTTTTGTGGGTGGGAGATGAAGGCAGGCTACACGGCGAGGGGGACAGGAGGTTGCTGTTGTTGCGTCCCGAATCAATCACCTTCGTGGTCTTAGCAGTTTCCAGTTGAGCAGCACGCCTAAAAAGTCTACAAAAACGAGAAGATACGTTGATGTAGAGAAAATAGACAAAGTGAACAGGTTATAGCCGGAAATTTGTGTTAGACATTTGAGGAACCATTGGCAAAAGTACGTGAACATTCAACAAACATTGTGAGAGGATCATAAGGAATACACTCAACTTACTTTAGAAGTCGATGTAGTCCGTAAAGCACATTAAAATCCAGCGAGGGGACACAGCCATCGAGCAGCTCTGACCACCTGGCAAAATCGATCAAATAGACTCGAAGGAAACGATCATTGGGTAAGGCTAGATCACCAGGCGACCTTGGCTCCGACCAATCGTAGCACAAGAAGAGGGATGATGCGACGAATCGGTAGCGCATTTGTTCCTCGAACCAATCAGTCAGTTGTCTCAGACGATCAAGAAATGCTCTAGCCAATAGGGTGCGACGCGTCACGTCGTCACCACCCAGAAAGACACGCACACCTGCAATATGTAACGCGATTCTATTGAACATCGTCTCCCAACACACCTCCAAATATAGCCTAATATCGTGCACAGTAAAAATAATCGATTTATCTGGTGGGAACAAAGTTTTATCGAAGAGTACCTTTTTCGTAGACTGTTGTCGGCCCAATCGACTTCCCGTAGACACGGTCATAAAAGACACCATCGACCTTAAGGTAAAAGCACTAGGACCTAAGCTAGTGGGCAAATTTATCAAAGAAAACCACAGTAATTAGAACAAACTGGCTACGCTAAAATGTGGGTATTTTGAAGGTGTCTGATTGGTGTTAAGTGTAGGTCGTCAGAGGCACTGGACGCTCAGAGCAGGACTTACTTAGCGTGGCCGGATTATTTACAAATCCAACGGCGAGCGTTGCAGGAAATGCGTCTAAAGGAAAGCGGAAACGCAAACTCCATGGGTGACAACTACGTGGGTAGTGGAGTATTACGCCTGATGGAGCATGTTATTCTCTGACGAGCTACCCACGCACATACATACGTGTACACGCAGAATTAGTTCAGGGGAATAGCCAATGGGCTTGCCTTGTGCATCTTAAGGTAGATCATAGTTGTCTAGAACGTGATTGGCCACATCAACGGGAGTCAACTAAATGGCTGCGTTGTGGCGGATTTGCAAACGAATGTAGTGTCATAGGGACGAACGTGACATACTCACCCGAATGCCGGTGATAAAAAAGCCAAGTTTTCGTCGCCAAGGGTACTTGGCTTTCTCCGTGGAGACCTTTGCGGGTGTGGCATCTGGTGTGTAGCTAACTCGACCCAGTTTCAGATCCATTGCATTTGGGTGTTCCATGCCATTAAGCATGTCTTCCAGACCCACCAGATAATCTGAAACATGAAATTACTTCAGGAGATGGTGTTTTCGATTAGTGTGCAGGTGAGGAACTAGTATACGCTCATGAAACCAAACAACACCGTAGATGGTGAACACGGCCCCCCCTGCGCCATTCGCAAGGCGTCGTGGGGGGGGGACATATTTACGGAGGTCACGTGAACAATGTGGACTAGTTGCGTGCGGGAGCCAGTGGAAGTTGAGGGGAGCCAATTACCCTGGGATAAACCTGTCTGGACACGATTCCACAACTGCGCGTCCTCTACAGTCACTCAAACAACACAAAAGGAAAGTAATTGAAATGGGAATTGTGCGTAAAGGAAGCAGTTGTTATATAATTATAGTACCTACTTCAAGCAAGTGGTGATTAGGCGCTTTGATAAAACACAAATTGCAGTGAGTGGGTACAGGGCGGGCAGTGGGTGCGTCCAGGCTTGCATAAAGTCGTAGTTATTAATATGCCTCAGTTTAAAAAAAGCTATAGAGGCGTTAACCTTTTGGAAAACGTGCACCACCAACAGTCTAGACTTTATTTCCATTGTAATTTTAACTTTCAGTGGAAATTAATGCCAGTCAGACTGATTACAACGAAAGCGAAGGCGACCCATTTACACAAACCTTTAGTTTTCGTTCGATTATACTCATATAGATGAAATGACATCCGTGAAATGTCGGATCACGTTCTTAATCAAAAATCATGATAAATTGGTGAAATGGGGTGATTCATCACTAGGGTTTCCCTAAATGCGCGCACCACGGCCCATCTAAATCCAGACATCAGCATACATTTGGTACCTACCTTAGAAACCTGTGAAATTACTTGGGAAAACCACCTTGGAGACTAAACTCAAGCATGGAAGTATTACCTGAATGACGGGGAATATCACGCAACGGCAATGAAAACCAAAACAAAGGCATGACCATTTGAAAATTAGGCAAGGATTTCGTCTAGATTGCCAAGGTTTGCTAAGTGAAAGAAGGTACCAGAGGCAGCAGACTTGAGCCTTAGAGCGAGTGCTTTGGATGACCCGTGCCGTAGACCGATGAAAATCCTTTTACGGCATGATCACGACCATTTTGGGAGCAATATTAAGGCTTTTATGAACAACAAACGTGATTATCGGTCCGGAAGAGCAGAACGCATCATTCGATTTGAACAATCGATCGACAAAAAGGCAGGAGAGCTAGCAAATCCACCGGGGAAGTGGAAAGCTAACAAGGTGGGTCGCGTTTAGGTTGACCCATGGTTACACTCATGCATGCAAGAACAATGCTAGGCATTAATTAGACGTAAAGATAAATAGGGATTATTGTTGGAATTTAGGCGCAGTTGCCTCGTCGTGTTAATCTAATTGACAGTTTAGATTGTTCCGCGTGCCTGTCAAATATTCTGCACAACAAGATCATACAAATTCATCTTTCGGTTTTGGGGGACGTTATGGTAAAATCCTACAACAACCGGTTCGGCCAAATTGGTGGCTTACTCAATGTCTGCCGAAACAAGGAAGAAGTAGCAACGTAAAACTTTGACAATACTTACGATGTGTATCAACCTGGTAGAAAAGTCCGCGATAGGCAGGAAGAAAGGCTTTCAAACGCCGCAAAAACGGGCACGTTGACGTGGTTGAGAAGACGCTTTCGTAGAATCGCGCCTCTTCGAAACCTTTGCGCTGAGCTGAGAGCACTTTGTAGACGGTGGCAGAGGACGGGTCGAATAGAACTGCGGATGCAAACATGGCACGATTATCGATATTTATTTTCTATCACTTACACATTGGTAAGATACCTTCACAAAGTATCTGATCGTACTCCCTTGATAAAAAACCCATTCGGGAAAAAATGGCAAAACTTAACGCAATTCCGGCAAATAAACGTAAAACTAGATTGCGGAATGCGCACAACCAACGGGCCAGTCTACATGACGCATTTAGACACTACAAGTTTCCACACGAAAACGCTGGTCTCTTATTGCTTAAACCCTCGATTCAGTTCATGTAAATACTGCCCGTTTGGGCCAGTGTACTTATGCGTGGTTTGTAGTTGCTAATAAACACTTGGGAGGATTGACAAAAGTCAAACAAGGTTTGGCCCAAATCTACTATGCTACAAAAGTGCACAGATGCCTGGATGCGACTTTAACATTTATAATCACGTCATTGTACTTTGTCAAATTCAATTACCTAAAATTCGTGATTCTAAATTTAGTAAAAACCAGTTAGTCTTGCTTTAAGATAATATACCAGGTAGTTCGCAAAAGTGAATTCTAAGTTTAGAAGACCAATTACACACTTCCATAGTGAATGCCTTTCTTCACGTGACATCAACATGCAATGATGACAAAATTGAAGGTTTAGAAAGGGGTCCACGCATGGGACTTAACATAACCCAAAGATGAAGTATAAAGTTGCTTGTGCTACCAAATAATCCCCAATAAGCTAACTTTATAACAGGAAACCACTTTAACAACTACAAGATTCGAAACCAGATTGATCAGTTTTAGTAAACGTAGTCGGACAACTACTGAGAAATGTGAAAAAGACTTCTGTATTGTACTTCATTAAAATAAACGACATTAAAAGCAGTAGTGCTCAAGAAAGAGCGCACACTATCTTGTACAAACTTCCCCATAGATTTCAATTGAATTATGTTAGTAAGCAAGCGGTACTTCTAAAACTAACTTATATATGAGCAAAACAAATCATTGGAAACTCAGAGTACTTTAGCAAAGCGCGCAAATCTCCTTACTCAGGAACAAAATATTACCGGGGACTTTAAATTATTTCAGAATACGGAAATATCAAAGAGTAAGCAAACCGAAGGCACTGTCATTGGGGAGGGCCGCGCCCTCACGTATACCCTCAATACAAATTAGATCTAATACTACGAATATCAAAAACATCCCGATTTTCTTCTCAGGAGACAACACCTTTTACGTAAAGACGTCGGGTGGGCAAAAAGGCTCTGTTGTACCACACCGGATTAAGAGATTGTACTTCTGCCTCTAGAGCTGTAATTATCAACACAGTTAATTATACTCATTGTTGACTATCATCACCTTTTAATTCCTGAATACCCATACAGTCAACTTAGCGTGTGGAAGTAAAAATTCAAACATCAACAAAGCAAACCGGTGAGCTACCAAGAGACAGAACTGACCTTGTACCACTTGCAATTCTAAGGACAAGATTTGTGGGGATAGTAACAAAACATTAAAAACAGTTTTAGATAAATATATTTGGACGGACAACAATTTACTGGTGAACACATACGAAGCCCACGCAAGGATAATTATCCAGGTTGCCCAAGACAGCTAAAACGCTACAAAATTGTCTAAACTTTCTTACATTTATTTTTTGCAGGCTTCTCGGGATTCAGGCCACCTATTTGGTGATTGTATGGCTTGAGGTCACCTGGTAAGGGTGCCGCAATTAAACGACTAGAAACAAAGTAGTCCTGTAGAGTCCCACCATCTTTAAGCATATTGTTAAAACGACAGAAAATCCCCACAGTCCAACCCGACCCACCGACTTCATACAACAGGCAAACGGAAATAAATCAGGCTTTTATTCTGAGCACCAAAACGCCGACAACTATTCAGCCAATGAAAAAGGATTCGATGTGGAACAAATTAAAGCCCATAACCTTGAGGAAATCGGGGTTTTATAGACATTCATCTAGAAATAAATTTGCAATTCATATATTACCATACACACATTGAAACATAATAAATTAGTGAATGATTAAACATGCTTTTAAATTTTATTTTAAGATCATAAAATACATAGGTTGGCATGAATTGACAAGACAGGAGCTGACTAATGCAATTGTCTAAAAGGGCACCAACATGTAAGATATAAAAAAGTGACACATATCACCTCCTTTTCAAGGTTAATCATACAAAAGTAGAAAAAAACTTTTCATATATCTAAACAAATACACAGTTCATGGGTGACTCAATCACCATCGCTTTTGTTAATCACAAAGGCAATTGGGAATCACTGCGATTATTGCCGTATTCTGCCTTGGTTATTATTTATATGTTGCATACTCATCTAGTCATCATAGCGATGAATTTTGTAAGTGAAAGCAGGGCATTTAATTACTTACTGTAAATTATGACCCAGTTATTCATACCAAAATTTTTACGATGAAAGTAAAAGCAAGTAACAATCCTTTATTCTGTTAGAGACCATTAGAACATTGTAGATGCAAAATATTTGTAAGAATATAATTGTACATTTAAAATGGATAGAGCGTTGATGCTAAGAAATGATTTAGATTTTCATATATAAGCAAATCAATTTTTGCAAATTCTAATTTTAGAATTTCGCTGGTAAAAAAATTGAATTGAGCAGGACATTTGTTTTGTGACATAGTTTTTAATCCGCACTCTACAAAGCTTTTGTCATCGCGATGTTTTATTGGCGCACTGCAGGCTTAAAGTAACGAGTTCTTTCTTCTTAAATAATTTACATTAGTTATCTTAGGTACTCGTCAATATGCGCAAAAGCACTTCGCTCCGCACTGAAGCCCGAGGTGAAGCACTCAATTAATGTTGCTGATAGTCAAGTTATTAAAACGCAATGGAAAGAAGGAAAACCAATAAGTAAGGAACTTTTTATCCACTTCATGCCTTTTTCAGAAAAAACGCAATAGTCACCTTTGGGCAACGAATGATGTGACGCTCTGATTTACTATTGGAAAATCCGATCTTTTGTAAAAAAAATACGTAGCAGTTGTAGTAAAGATATATACTTTTATCCCCGAATGAAATTTTGTACCTTTTTATTGGGAAGCCATACCTTAGTATTGCATTTTTAGAATATAGACCGTTGTTTTGTCTGCGTCTTGAAGAATGTGAACTAACTCTTAGTTCACAAATGCGTTTTGTCAAATTTACTAAATGAATTGACGCATTGGCTTAAATCCTTACACTAGCCAATTTCTGATAAAACATATCTCCGTGGTTTAATGTGTGCGGTTCGAATTTTTTTCGCAATATTTTTGATTTGATTTACTGGTGGCAGGACCTAAGACTGTCTACTCGCTCGGAAAAACCGTGCTTTTTTTCCTTACGAATCTTATGGGTGGCTCCCGGGTTGTAATAGGACAAGTTTTTATTTATTTTGTCATTTCCCGTCTCCCCACAGGACGGTCGGATTCTATAATAATATTTGGTACATAAGTTTGAGATACTTTTGGACGTGTGTATTCTTTATGAATTTCTGTGCAGTGCCTCATGAGGTTTACTGCAGAAACGTGTTCTTCCTTTTCCAATATCTTTTGCCGCGTTGACGTCAACCTTATTTTCAATAAGAACTTCCGCCCTCACCATTTTAATTTCTTGCAAGCACTGGCCATTTACCTTGTCTCTTATATTTTTCAATGTTAACTAAAATTGTTTGGGGTCATGGCGTTACTTATATGAGAAACCCCATAGCTCACAAAGTTTCCTCTCATCAATTTTTCCTGTGTGTTGAATGCGCATTAGCCGTCAAACTGGTAATTTGAGTTGGTGTCCTCGGCGTTCTGTAGAAACCCAAGTACACGTTTTGCGTAGACGTGGTAGTTTATCTGGAGCCTCCATTTCTTTCGTCGCTTTCTCATTTAGGGCTTTTAAATATAGGTGCGTTTTGCCGTTCCAATTGGCCGTCTGAATTTGGCGTTCTGACTTCGTACATGCTCAAGTCTGCCTAGTTTGCCCACTTACTTACGTGTAATAAGTAGTACTTATTTTTTTGTCATTTGTTCGTTTTGTACAGTAGTTTGTGTCGCTTTAATTACGTTATCTGCAGGAACATATAATTTACACAAATTGAGGGGATTGCCGTTCTGAAACCGAACATTTTGGCGTTTCTCGTGGTCATTGCTACTGTCTGTTTGAATTTTAACTCAACGACCCGCCCAAATGTTTTTGTCTGTAGCCACCCCACACAGTTCCTTTTTATCACTGGAAAGGGCAACATGGAAATCGATTACAACGAGTGTTCTGCTGTTCTCCACTTGATTAGATATCTTGTCAGAATTCCAGCTTCTGGTATGATAGCTAATCGATACTATGGTGGCGCTAACTCCTGCCATGCTCACAGGTGTTCTTGCACTGCCGCTTAATACTCGGCTCTATTCTCCCCCATCACGTGCTGCATCGTGGTTGTGTGATTACTTTTTTTAAACGCGGAGATGCTTAGTCAAATGTGGGCTCAATCGGCGTTTTTTTTTAGCGGGGATGCACCATGTTTGACGCGTTTTTAACCGTCGTTTAGGCAGGCGATTGAGTTCGATAGTGAGCCTTGGTCACGCGTAATGCCGTGTTCTCAGCCTGTTAGTGGTGAGTCATCCTATCGCCTAAACACTTACAAAAATTGACCTCGGCGAAATAGGGGGGTGCGTATCATAACTTGAGCGAGTGGGGTAGGCTCCCAGTGTTTGTTCCCTCGCCATACGCACTAAATGTAGCGTTAGCGTCGGTGAATTAGGCAAAGCACTTTTAAATTCCGGTGTTCTGCACCTGCTATGTTTGGGTGATGACGCGTTATTCGTAGTGTCACACTCTTTGCAGGGTGCTGGGAGCACGAGTGATTTATCCGTTTTTGAGAGGTGGAAAATCCGCTCGCTGGGGTAGCCGGCAGAATCTTGCGAAGGCGTCAACAACTGTCTCGGCAATTGATTATTTCTTGGACCAATCTCGCGCCTCTCTCCACATTTTAATGATTAAATAAACTCCCTTACTGTCTGCATGATTCGTTGGTTTTTGCACTGTTTGCATCCTGATTCGAAGTCAATGACTTTTTGAGAAAGTTACATCGATTGTTAAATACCCCGTAAAGGC